CTACATTTTGTACATATTTGTGCCAAACAGGAAACCACAATCTATTTGTGTATATGTACAGTGAAGCTTCATTTTCACTTGATATTCAAAAAGACTTCTTCCCAGGTCAAAATACATCTTTGTCATCTTTAATAGTCACATAATATTCCATTCTAGGAATGCACTGCATTTTCTTCCTACAATCAATTCTATGAGTCTTTTCTAAAACATTGCTATTTTAAGCCATTCTCAGAAAAACAATCTGTATGCATCTTTTAGTATACCCTAAAGATATTTAGTATAAAGAATTTGTGTATAGAAATATGCATTATTAAAATGAACATACAATAGTTTGAGAAGTCATAAGCAACTCAGCACTTAAATAGCAGTGTAAATACCACTACTCTCTATCTCACAAGTTTTGTAACTAGAAACTATATTTAATTTATCATTAAACTTAAATTTCCTTCTCTAACCAGGGATACAAAGTACTTTTTCCTATATCCACAGGTCACTTTTGCATCTGGAAAGAAAGGAATTTTCCTAATTTAAATTAGAGTTCAAGGGCTCTAGGATTCAGTTTTGTGGCAGAGCACTCAAATAGCAAGCTCAAGGCAATGGGCTCAATTCCCCGGAACAAAATTAAAAACTAAGAGAGAAAAAGAACAAAAGGAAGACGACTTCTTCAGTTCATTCTTTCCTAAGGACTTTGCCCACATAAAATGTATACAGAAGAATTTGTGTTTTCGTCTAACATTTTTCTCATTTTGTATTATTTAAAATTAATAATCCATATTGTACCCGGGAATTATTTTTGTGACATAAAAATCCAACTAGTTTTCTACAATTATCACGCATCTCATTGACAAATAATTCTTTTCCTACTATTATGATATGTCATCAGTAGCACATTCTAAACGTTTTCAGATATTTGGGTGTTTCTTAGTTTTATTCTGTTCCACTCATTTACCTGCCTTTTTGTCTGTTGGCGATTTGGGACAGTTGATGTGAAATTTGGTACAGAGACAGGCAAGTCTTTATTACAAACATTTTCTTAGTGTCATCATTATCCTAAAAGATTGTATGTAGAACTCAAAAAAGATTAAAATCTGGCATTTTTATTTGGTTATTTGAAACTGTTAACCATAGAAAAAGCTCAGACTTTGGTAATAATGAATATTTCTCTTAAAATACACCACACCAGGGTTCAGGCCCTGGCTATTCCAGGTCTCCTTATAACAAAACAGAGAAGGGGCATTAGGGCAGCAGTTTGCAGTCTGTGCAGGCTGGGCATACCCTGCCTGCGGTCCTCTTGGCCCTGGTGACTGAGAGCCTGTACCACTTAGATGCTGTGAACAGATGCTCTGATCAAACAAAAGAACAAGAATGGATAACTACAGGAAATGATACCCGGACAGCATGAATCTGCAGATTTTCATTCAAAGCATTTAGTGAATGTTCCTTAGTGTGGTCAGCCTGAAATGGTGACAAGATTGAAAATCCACAATGTGCTTGGTACTTTGGAGAATGTGAATGCTGCCTTGCATGACCTCTATTCTACTCTCTCAGAACTCACGAAAGTTAACTTAGTACCTGCAGAAAAAAACAAGGATTCTCAATAATCATGTTAAGAAGATGTTTGTCTGATCAAGAGACATTGAGAACACATGAACTAGTGAGTAAAGCATATGAGAAGTATAAATAAAATAAAATAAAATAGAAGTAAGGAGCACATAAAGAGGAGTAGAAGTGGCAACCCGAAGAAAACTAATGTGAAAAATAATTGCAAAACTAAACCCAGAACAGGGAACAAAAAATCACTGGCCCTCATCAAAGACCCTTATAAGGCTCTAGAGTAGACAAAATGTAAACATAAGTATACATCCATAAAGTAGTATATAGTATGAGTGACATTTTTATGATATTTTTATGAGTTACATTTCCTACTTGAACTATATATAGAGAGAGAGAAA